GCGGGTGGCGGAAGTTCGGCAAGAGCTCCAGGCTCTCATGGAAAAACATGAGAGCTTGGAGCGTGACTCCAAGACTCGAGAGTCCGAGCTTGCCTCGGCTCTCGAAAGTGCCAAGTCCGCCAAGGCCGAGGCCCGTAAGGCCCTTCAGGAGGTTGAGGACATAAAGAAGATAGCTGCAGGTAAGGCGTTTTTCATGCAAAGAAGGCATGTTAATGTGAACTACCTGACACTTACCTGCATTCGGAGCTCTCCAGGGGCGTTTGCAGATCTGCCGCGTAGTGCGTCTGATGCCGCCGCATTCTATCGTGGCGAGGAGGGGAGCTCGACGGAGAAGGTCTTCTGGTCTTAGTACTCTGAGGCCGGCCATCCGGTGCCCCCAAGCGACCAGCTGAAGCAGCTGGTCGAACTGCACAAGGTAGCTGAGGAAGCCATGAAGGGCCTCATAGTCCGGCTGTGGCCTGGACAGGCCATGCCTGGTAGCTACTTTGGCCTCGTGCGGCGGCTGGTGGATGCATGCCCCAGGCTGGATGTAGTCAAGCGCTCCGCCTGTATTGAAGGCGCTCGTCGGGCCCTTGCCCGCATAAAGGTGCAATGGGGCAAATTGGATGTGGAGAAACTTCTCACGGACCCACCGCCGCCGGGCAAGGAGTATCGCACGCCGGAGAAGTATTATAAAATTGTCCTGAAGGGGGCCTGCGATATTGCAGATGAGTGCTCCCGGAATGTAATTTTTGAGTGAACTCGCTGTATATTTATCCTGTGCGCTGAAAACTTCGTTCATATGCGCCATGAGCAACGCTTGTTTAATTTAAAATATTACCTTCTATGCGGCCGTTTATAAAATCTGAGAGATGGCAAGTCGTTGGCTTCAGCCCCCAAGCCGCTAGTGCTGGGGTGTTCGGGATAAACATGAGCACTCTTGTTCCCATTGTTGGGTCTATCGAGGGAGGCGCTCAACACAACGAATAAGGCAACCGGACTTATAATGCTTGAACACTCTCGCTTAGCCATAGAATTCTATAATTTTAAATTTCGGCGAAGCCCCTGGTATTCGGAAGACCGAATCCGGGGCGCTATCCACGCCTTCGTCGGACATTATCCGGAACTTCGCTCGAAGCGGCGTGAGTCTTTAAGGACCCGAAAAAACCTCTCGAACAGCGACCAGTCTCTCGCCTTATCATGCCAGTCAGTTTTAGCTTTCTCCACTGAGGCGTTAACCCGGCTCAACCGGGGCGCAATCGCAGTGGTTCTCCCAGTGCCACCTTAGCCGACAGAACGAAACGTAAGGCACCAAAACGTGGGAGCCGGGCAAACCCAACTATTGACCCAAGACATGATTCGGAGCCGGTTCATGTAATGCTATAAGTTCGGGGTGCCGTACTTGTGAAAGTGTTCGGACTTTATCACACCATAGAGTGGGGAACAGAAGCCCCTGGCGTATTCGGCCGTACCAAAATATACGGGTGGAAGATGTCATGTAATGAACATATATATAAAGGATAGTGCAATTGCAATAAAGAGGTGCTGCATTTTTTATGAAAGAAAGTCTGCTAGTAGAGCGGACTGATACAAATAGTGCGGTAAGCAAGGGATTTGGACTAAATAAACATGTCCCCCTCCAGGGATGAGCTGCGAATTTGGTGTATGTAATCGAATTTAATGCTCGTAATTGAGACCACCTGGGTGTTCGGCGCGGCCTTCTTTAGTCCCTGACTGTTGCATCGTGAGTTCGGCAGGTTCACCGCCGGACAGGTCTTCTGGTTAACAGAGTCCTGTGTACTAAAAAAAAGATGAAAAATAATAAAAAAAGAGAGGCACATTTGCGAGCCCCCGGTGTGGTCGAACCGCACTCTGGGTCCGTTGCGATCGTGCCCCCTCCCCTGTGCCCATGGTATCTCCAAGGCGTAATGATGTACGCGGAGTGTTATTCTTGCGATCATACGCGGGCGAGGGTTGGGGCCGCATTGCTACGCATGCTCTGATCGTGCCAGGTGGTCTTGGTTGGCATTGCTCCGGGCGCGTTTTGCTATATCCGGCCGTTTAACGGCCGGACTCGAGAATTGCCTTAAAAGTCTGCTCTGTACTTCTGCCGCGAGAGCCGCTGTATGTTCCTCCGTTCGGAGGGAGCGTTCCGTATTCCCATTGACCGTGATGACTCCACGAGGGCCTGGCATCTTGAGCTTTAGGTATGCATAGTGCGGCACCGCGTTGAATTTGGCAAACGCGGTTCGTCCGAGCAGAGCGTGATAGCCGCTGCGAAACGGGACTATGTCGAAGATTAACTCTTCGCTCCGGAAATTATCTGGGGATCCGAAGACCACTTCCAGTGTGACTGAGCCTGTACAGTTGGCTTCCACTCCTGGGATGACACCTTTAAAGGTTGTCTTTGTAGGTTTAATCCTTGATGGGTCTATGCCCATTTTGCGCACTGTATCCTGATAAAGCAGGTTTAGGCTGCTGCCGCCGTCCATCAGGACTCTTGTGAGGTGGAACCCATCGACGATTGGGTCTAAGACCAATGCGGCGAATCCGCCATGGCGTATGCTGGTCGGATGGTCTCTTCGATCGAAAGTGATCGGACAAGAGGACCATGGGTTGAACTTTGGGGCGACTGGCTCCATCGCATAGACGTCCCTTAGTGCGTGTTTCCTCTCCCTCTTGGGTATGTACCTTTCAAAGGTGCATTGAAGACAACTGATCCACTTCCCCTGCCAAAGGCTACTACTCCTTCTAATATACTGGTCGCACTTCAGTTGATATCAGATTTGGCAGAAGCGGACATGTTGCGCTCTTAATTATGGGAAGTTGATTCTTAATGAGTGTTTGTTTGAAGCTCTAATGGAGCTGCCCATGAACATTGAGGAAGACTTGGCTGCCATTGTTGCCTTAATGTTTGCAAATTATGCTTTCCTTTCTGTCTTGTTGAATTTGAACCTATCTAGACTATTGTTTCCTACATTTGGAACTATGCCTTGCTGTTGTGAAATTGGAACACCTATTTAAACTAAGTGTTGTACTTTGTTGGTGCAAGATATTTGTTGTTGTTGTTGCATCACTATTGCATGATGTTGTCGTCGATTTTTAGAATATTTTGATAGTATATATTTTTTGCTATATGATCATCCAATTGTATTCACATATTGTACAAATTTTGTTTTGATGCACATATACTAATGTTCCTATGCAATTTCATGGTTTGCCATCCAAACATGATTCTGTAATGAAACCTCAGTAAGATTCCATGAGCCAATTCAACAAACACCCAAACAACCAAATTCGTATTCATGTCCATTACATTTTCCTGAGTGAATTGAAACTGAAACCAATTCAATATAGAGGACTCCAATACAGACATCCAAACATAGCGGATGAGAACTCGTCATTAATTTCGGGGCATGGACTACCAAATTTTGGAGAATTTGATTTGTTGAACTTGAAGTATTTTATCCCTTCTTCCTTTGTACTCTTGCAGCACCACAGCTTCAAGTTCCCAGGGGCGTTCAAATATTTGAGGCTGACCATAGTGGTGGTATCTTAGCTACTATCATGCACTTGGAAATAGCAAACACGCTTATGTGGCAGAGAATTAAAGAAGAGAGAGGGTTAGAATAGCATAGGTAGATCCGTATCATATTAAATGCTATGCTATTTTGTGTCATGCATTACAATAAATAAGATCATTTACAATACTAGTCTATACTACTATGCACTATAAAAATACGTAATATGATAAATTAGTCCGTCCGGAAATACTTGTTATCAAAATGAATAAAAAGAGATGTATTTGGACGTATTTTAGTTCCAGTTACATCTCTTTTTATCCATTTTGATGACAAGTATTTTCGGAGAGAGGGAGTACTTGCCACTACTCGTCCAAAAGGAAAAAAAAAAGCAGGGGGCGAGAAAGAGACGTGAAGGATGTGGGATCAAATCCCAAGTGCGCCGACCGCTCCCATACACGCGTCGGGCCGCCGGGGAATGAGGTGTCCAAGTGTAGGGCAAATCCCTCGACAAAGGCGTGTCCCTCGTAGGATGGTCGACATGCATCCGACCTCTATGATTGGCAACTTGCTGATTTTCCTTTTCCGGGAACTTGCTGATTTCTTTGGAAAATTACACGTTCCATAGATCGCGTTAGGACCACAGGTCACGTGGTGCAGAAAGGAAAAAAGTGATGCTGGGCAGCACATGGCTGCGTTTTGGTTGCATACGGCTCTACGCTACGCACGTGAAACATATTTGATGGGGATGCGCCACCCAGACCTAGGGCACACGTGAAACAAGTTTTGGCGCTCGCCCGTCGACTAGTGATGGGGCCCAACAGGACAGATGCTGCCCACGGATTGGCCCCAATAGGAGAGTGAGTGCAGGTCTCCCCCGAATGGCTATGGCCTATTCTTCTCTATAAAAGGAATCGTGCTGCTAGTCTGTCATACTAAAATCATCTCTGCCACTTCACTTGTGTCCAGTCTCTCACTTTGGTAAGTAGCTACAGTCATTTATTTATTTTTGCGTAAAAAGTAGCTACAGTTATTACCTTGTGCTTTTCTTATTCTTCCTTCAACAAGGAGTATGGTTTGCTTGGCCCGTAGAAATATGCGACTAACCCTTTTCTTTCGCTTTTTTTTCTCAAACAAATCCATGTTCGCTACACGTATTAATTTGAATCCCAGTGTTGTGCCCCCACCTACACATACATAATACTACCCCATCCGAAATTAAATTTGTTGGCACTGAAACAGATATATCTAGATGTATTTTAGTGCTAAAGACATCCATTTGAGCGATAGATAATTTCGAATGGAGGGAGTATTTCGTACTCCCTCCGTCCCATAATATAAGACATTTTTTGACACTAGTGTAGTGTCAAAAAACGTCTTACATTATGGGACGGAGGGAGTAGATACTAGACACTAGATACATTTTATTTTTCATGATTTGCAAGCTACGTATTACAAGTTGCTAATCTTGAAGTTGGCGTAGACCCTTGATCATTTTGAATGCCTTGCTATATGTGCAGACATATGCACGACCCGATCAATATGAAGGGGGGTAATACAGTCAAATTATTGAGTATACTCGTGCTGGCCGTCTGGGTTTTGTTGGCTGGTAGTGTTCGATCTGATACAAGTTCGAATACTTGTAGAGGAGACTCCAAACTCAGGCCACCCAATTACAACAGTGAAAAATATACAGTCGACACCAAGAGTCCTGATGCCTACAGGAAGATGATCGCTCGCCTGCGGGAGCTGCTGACAATGCGCGGGGAGTACCGGCAAGGAATACCGATACTCCCTGAGCGAACAAGCGTCTCTGATTCTCAACGGTACATCTTACTTGAAATCACTGTCGGTGACACAGCAGGAGGTGTAACATTTGCTATCGATGTGACCAACGTTTACATCGTTGGTTATCTTGTTGGCACCACCAGATACTTCTTTCTGGAAGCTCCAGCCAGGGCAGAGGACCTTCTCTTCACAACAGCGGATAATCAACCTTCACCAAGGAAGTCATCCAACTATGCAAAGTTGGAACAGAATGCAGGTGCATCGAGGAGGGCCTTCCCGCTGGGGCTGGCTAGTCTGGCTGATGCCATCAGAACACTCATAACTAGAAGACCAGAAGATGCAAGGTCCCATCTAATAGTAATCCAGATGGTTTCAGAGGCCGTGCGATATTGGGAAATAGAGTGGAATGTTCTCCAAAATCCTTCGTTTCTACCAGACTCTCGTATAATTGGTTTCCAGAACAACTGGTCAGCTCTCTCTTTGCAGATCCAGACTAGTGATGCATTCGCATTTCAAAGGCCTATTACCATCGGCGATCAAGTCGCTGATAGTGTTCAGTCAGCAGTCATAAAAGCTTTGTTTCTGATGTTGTTTAGATGCGCTCGGCCGCATAATCTGCAGTTGCCAATGGAGGAAGGTAGATGCAAGCGTATGACCGACCCAGCTACTGAAATACTGGGAAGTGATCTTTGTCTGTCCATTGATCCTCCTCTGCAGAAGGCTGATGACAAATGCAAGCATTTAGCCGACCCAAGGAGTCGAATAAGGGGCAGAGATGGCCTCTGTGTTGACGTGGAGGGGTTTATTTATCGAGATGGAACCCCAGTTGTTCTCTTCGCATGCAGGAGCAGTGACTTCAGTAACCAGCTTTGGAAGTTCCGAGCAGACGGCATGGTCGTATCTCTGGACAAGTGCTTGGCAGCAACCGGGGTAAACCCGGGAAGCACTGTGGTGATACATCAATGCGATACTCTCCATGATTCCGCGGTTCAATGGGTGATGAGCAACTCCGGGACTCTGTCCAACCGAGTCAGCGGGCTGGTCTTGGATGCTGCTTCTGGTTCTGGAAAACAGCTGAAACTGCAGAGTGACACTAATTCCAGCTTTCAAGCCTGGCAGAGGACTAATAATATTAAAGCGGTTGATGTCTACATACATGGTGAAAATAATCGGTGCATCTACTATAATGGTGACTATGGGATTTATGTAGAGGGATGTCGCAAAGACTACTCCTGGCAAAAGTGGAGACTGTACCCAGATAGTACTATCCGACCTATACAACAACTGCGTGGTTGTCTTGAGCTTAATAGTTTCAAAAATTCAACTTGGTTTTATAATTACATCCAATTTGGGAATTGCCTTTGGTATGCTGATTACCACCGTTGGATCTTTACCCACGAGGGAACCATCATGAATTTGAAGAGCAACTTGGTGATTGATGAGGACAGGGACTATCCAGGAAAGGGATGGCTCAAGGCAGCGCCCTTCCAAGGTGGCCTCAATCAAATCTGGAAGCTTGAATTTATAAAATAAGTTCATCACCATCTCCCCGTGTACATTTATGTTGGACGCTCTATAGTGGCGTGTATGTCTGTGTTTTTACTTATACATGTAATAATATTAAATTAGTGTTCGCTTTCTAGGGCGATGTATGCTTCTACTACATTGTACACGAATAATAATGCATAAATATTGTGTAATGATTATCATGGATGTGAGCCCCTTCATTGTGCTTAGTACTGGTTTATTCATTTGCAATTGTGCCTAGGCGTAATTTTTCTCAAAAGTGTTTTTACTTATACATGTAATAATATTAAATAAGTGTTCGCTTTCTAGGGCGATGTATGCTTCTACTACATTGTACACGAATAATAATGCATAAATATTGTGTAATAATTATCATGGATGTGAGCCCCTTCATTGTGCTTAGCACTGGTTTATTCATTTGCAGTTGTGCCTAGGCGTAATTTTTCTCAAAAGTGTTTTTACTTATACACGTAATAATATTAAATAAGTGTTCGCTTTCTAGGGCGATGTATGCTTCTGCTACATTGTACACGAATAATAATGCATAAATATTGTGTAATAATTATCATGGATGTGAGCCCCTTCATTGTGCTTAGTACTGGTTTATTCATTTGCAATTGTGCCTAGGCGTAATTTTTCTCAAAAAACAGTAGTGAGGCAGCTAGCTCGATTATATTCGTTTCCCACAGGCTGGACCCACATATATGCGCTGACATGGTTGTCGGTGTGGTGGTGTGTCGGTGGCTGACATATTTGTATCTTGTCTTTGGTGTGTGTGTTGTGTGCGGGGGTGTGTGTGTTTGTATCAGTCTCTCGGTCGTAATCGGTGATGGTTGTTATATAATATACAGCGGGAGGAAACTGTTTCTTGATACATGCGCTAACATGGCATTATTAAAAGTCAATAAAATCGATGTTGGCCGTTAAGTTGGATTGTGGGACCAATCCGTTTGATTCAACACTCCTTTCTTATGGCCTTGCTCTTGACAAACTCCGAGTCCTCACCGATACCACTCATGGAACTCGTTGTTCACAGCTTCCAGCTAGGACAATAGTGGTGCATTTGGTCGCACATGATCCCCCGCCGTAGCCACCATGTCCCCATTTACTTCCTCCTTCTACCGTTATCCCTCAAACCTTTTACACCGAACCAATACAAAGTACACGACTGAATGATATGGCAACAAGGATAAGAACTAACCTTTGGCTGCCTTACTCTCCAAACCAGGAAGGGTGGCGGCCTAGATCACATCTCATCCCTATAAACCCTAACCTCCACCTCCTATATAAGGGGAGGTTTGGGCACATCCATGGCATCCATTATTAGAGATAGACAACTCTCAGTAGCAATCTAGTCCCCCATTGTATTCCCTCACACGAGGCATCATATCACCATGAATGACAAGAAGAAGCGTGGTGTGGGGTATTACTCTCCGGAGGCCCAAACTTTGGTAACTTGTGTGCGGGGGCAATGTCTCGGTACTTTCGACCTCATCGGGAATCCAACCGAGCGGTTTAACATATTTTGCACCGTCAGTTGGCGCGGCAGGCATGGGTTTTTGGGGTTAAATCCGCCAGATATCGGGTAGGATGAACATGGCACATGATGTTTACCCTGGTTCGGACCCTCTTGAAGAGGTAAGACTCTACGTGTTGCTTATGTTGTATCATTTGTGTTGGTGTAGAAAGTATAGAATGACCTACCTTGAAATCATATGTGAATGTTTGATTCTCTACCCTACAAGCTAAATCCCTCGGCTTATATGGGGATCGAAGGTAATTAGAGTTTACACGAAGTCAGTTAATCTAGGGATAAGCATGCCGATAATACAAGGACGCGCTTGGTTGCTCGCATCATTTTTTGTCCATTTGCACACTTATCCCAATTGGGCCTGGTTGAGCATATGCAGGCAAAAAACCAACATCTGCATGTTTATTTGTTGCCTGAATGTCATCTCCAGGCATCGCAGAGACGCCTCTACGCCAACTTGTTGAGCTTACCAATACTACTTCAACTTACACACGATCACACCCAGCACACCAACGCCACAACACTGCTATGACGATGAATTGGACAAAGATGATGAAGTTCTTCAGCCCTAACAGATGATCCACCTTGCCAGCCTCAACCTTGCTGCATGAATGCTCTCGCACATACTTGGAGTAAGTATCTTCTGTCGTCTGCCTAGTCTTAAATCCTCCTCTGTGGTTGCTATCACCGTACCCTGGAACTTGTTTGTTGCAAGCTTCCTATGAACTGTAAACCCCTAAAACCCTACCTCAAACACCACATACCACTTGCCCTGCCAGTGCAAAAAAGCAATATCTTCAAGCAACAAGCATTGGAAGACACAAACAATAAGCAATGAAGAACTCTATGAGCAAGCAATGGAGCACAAGAGCATTAGTAAGAATGCATGATCGTAGCAAGTTCAACATACCACTACTTTGGTGTCATCCTACCACCACATCCAAAAGAGGGTGTAATCCTACCATCGCAAGTTCATGATCACCGTGAGGGGTTATACCTCCTCACCAAAGTATACATACCATAAGATTGTTTTCAAGCCCTAACTACACATAATATATGTCGTCATCTGATGTCTACTACACAACCTTCTTCTTCTAGAGTTGTTGGGCCTCCAAGTGCAGAGGTTCGTAGGACAGTAGCAAATTTCCCTTAAGTGGATGACCTAAGGTTTATCAATCCGTGGGAGGCGTAGGATGAAGATGGTCTCTCTCAAACAACACTGCAACCAAATAATAAAGAGTCTCTTGTGTCCCCAACACACCCCATACAATGGTAAATTCTATAGGTGCACTAGTTCGGCGAAGAGATGGTGATACAAGTGCAATATGGATGTTAGATATAGGTTTTTGTACTGAAATTACAAAAACAGAAAGGTAACTAGTAACAGAAGTGAGCAAAAATGGTATTGCAATGCTTCGAAAAAAGGCCTAGAGTTCATACTTTCACTACTGCAGGTTCTCTCAACAATAATAACATAATTGGATCATATGACAATCCCTCAACGTGCAAAAAACAGTCATTCCAAAGTCAATGATAGTAGAGAACAAACGAGGAGATTATTGTAGGGTAAGAAATCACCTCAAAGTTATTCTTTTCGATCAATCCATTGGGAAATTCCTATAAGTGTCACAAACAGCCTTAGAGTTCGTACTAAAATAACACCTTAAGACACACATCAACCAAAACCCTAATGTCACCTAGATACTCCAATGTCACCACAAGTATCCATGGGTTAGATTATATGATATGCATCACACAATCTTGGATTCATCTATTCAAACCAACACAAAGAACTTCAAAGAGTGCCCCGAAGTTTCTACCGGGGAGTCAAGAAGAAAATGTGTGCCAACCCCTATGCATAGATTCCCAAGGTCAGTGAACCTGCAAGTTGATCACCAAAACATACATCAAGTGGATCACGTGAATATCCCATTGTCACCATAGATAAGCACATGCAAGACATACATCAGGTGTTCTCAAATCCTTAAAGACTCAATCCGATAAGATAACTTCAAAGGGAAAACTCAATCCATTACAAGATGGTAGAGGGGGAGAAACATCATGAGTTCCAACTATAATAGCAAAGCTTGCGGTACATCAAGATCGTTCCATATCAAGAATACGAGCGAGAGAGAGATCAAACACATAGCTACCGGTACATACCCTGAACCTCGTGGGTGAACTACTCCCTCCTCGTCATGGAGAGCACCGCGATGATGAAGATGGCCACCGGAGATGATACCCTCCTCCGGCAGGGTGCCGGAACAGGGTACCGATTGGTTTTTGGTGGCTACAGAGGCTTGTAGCGGCGGAATACCCGATCTAGGTTTCTTTTTGGGGGTTTCTGTATTTATAGGAATTTTTGGCGTTGGTTTCACGCCAGGGGGGTCTCTGAGTCAGCCACGAGGTAGGGGGGCGTACCCGGGGGGTAGGGGCGCCCTCCACCCTCGTGGTTGGCTCGGTACTCTTCTGGCCCAACTCTTTTGCTTCGGGGGCTTCTTCTGGTGCATAAAAAATCTCCGTAAATTGGTAGGTCAATTGGACTCCGTTTGGTATTCCTTTTCTAGGTTAACAGGTTAGTCCCAAAAATTGGTAGGTCAATTGGACTCCGTTTGGTAGGTCAATTGGACTCCGTTTGGCATAAAAAATCTCCGTAAATTGGTAGGTCAAGAACAAGGAAAAATCAAAAACTGGCACTGGGCTCTAGGTTAACAGGTTAGTCCCAAAAATCATATAAAATAGCATATAAAACGTCCAAGATGGATAATATAATAGCATGTAACAATAAAAATTATAGATAAGTTGGAGACGTATCAAGCATCCCCAAGCTTAATTCCTGCTTGTCCTCGAGTTGGTAAATGATAAAAACAGAATTTTTGATGTGGAATGCTACCTAACATATTTATCAATGCAATCTTCTTTATGGTGGCAAGAATATTCATATCCATAAGATTCAAAACAAAAGTTTAGTATTGACATAAAAACGATAATACTTCAAGCATACTAATAAAGCAAGCATGTCTTCTCAAAATAACATGGCCAAAGAAAATTAAAATCATATAGTCCGGCTATGCTCCATCTTCATCACACAAAATATTCAAATCATGCACAACCTTGATGACAAGCCAAGCAATTGTTTCATACTTTTGATGTTCTCAAAATTTTCAACTTTCACGCAATACATGAGCGTGAGCCATGGATATAGCACTATAGGTGGAATGTACTATGGTGGTTGTGGAGAAGACAAAAAGAAGGAGATACACAAAAAGAAGAAGACCAAAACAGGGCTTTGGTTCTAGCCGGGCTAGCCCATTAGTCCCGGTTCAGTCACAAACCAGGACCCATGGGGGCATAGGTCCCGGTTCGTGAGGCCAGTGGGCCGGCCGGGCCATCGTGGGGCATTGGTCCCGGTTCGTCTAGCCCCTTTGGTCCCGGTTCCAGGCACGAACTGAGACCAATGTGCCTCACTCCTGGA